TCAGGTGTAGTAACCCCCCTACAGCCGTCTCCTTGTCTGCTGGTACAACACTGTGACAGACTGTTCCGCGTGTCTCGTTTATATACCCGACCCTCGGTGTTGACTTGATTTCCCTACCTGTTTGCGGGGTAGGATGACAGAATCTATAAATTGATAATAAAAACAGCTCTTGCCTTCACGGTTGCTTGCTTTTAGTTAGGGCCTAATCTGGCTTGACGTGAGAAGTTTAATGATGAGTTTTGTGTACAGCTTATATTTATATATATATAAGGGGTCGACTACCTGGTGTTTAGAAAGGTGACTCGTTTTTTGGGGGGGAGAGCGGAGGGAAGTGGTCAGTTATCTGTTGATATTGTTGTGGTTTATTTAAACAGGGTCGGAGATGTACCCGGATAGCAAAAACAAAAACGAGACAATGATGTGGAGGACGCAGAATAGACTAGCCGAGAAAAATCAGTTTTCCTGCGACATTTTGGTTTTGCCGAATACCTGCCTGGGGTCATAAAGAACGATATTTATGATTGGGGAAGAATGTGACTCACCTCTGTACGTACCGGAAGTGCGTGTATTTACACAATCAGATAGAGCGTGGACGTTGGATAGGGGTGGACATTATTTAGACGTTTTGTCATATAAGCTTATGTAGAAGGGGCAAAATATTTGTTCAAAAAATATCAACATACATACATACAACATGATGGTTTGTGTGTGGGAGAAAGTGCGTAATATATCAGACGAGTGCATCTTGGAGGATCTTTGGGGGGTGGGAGGCTTATTTCTTCATTATGATATATTTGTGACCTTTATCTCCTTCGTCCAATTTAAGTTGAAATCGATAAGAAATTATAAATATTAAAGAATAACCTGTCCGACGTTCTTCTGGGATTGTTGTGGTTAATGCATGTTTATCTAAACCTACCTTCTTTCGCTTGATTAATTCGGACTATTGGGTCGCTCAACTGTCGTGGTCAACCTTCCCTATTTCGCGAAATGGGCATTTCTAAATGCACTGTTTTCTTCACATTCTTTGTTTTCTTTATTATCTCTGTTAATCCACGACAATTTTTACACTCAGCCCCACCCTGCATTCCCATAGTAAAGGTGAACGAGGGCAGCAAGCAGCGGACACGGAAAGACGCACCGAGGAAGGACATTGCATGGAGAGCACTACATACCCTCTACCAGGTCTACAGGTTGACTTTTCACAGTTATGTCTCTGGCTAATTCACGACACGATTCTCTGCTGGAGAAAAATATAGAATAATATAATTAATATGCAGCCCTGGTAGAGGGTAAGTATGAGGCAGGAGCATGGAAAGTACCGTGCCTTGCCTGAAGGACCTGCCCTCCCCTCCTCCCCCTACACCCCCCCCCCCCCATCCCCTGTCTCATCAGGTCATCGTGACCATTCTGGTGGACATACCATGATGACAAGACAGGGAAGTACACGACATTGACCATTACTAATACGGGTGACTGGGCGATATTTCCCCTTACTAATAAAACCCGTTGCACACGATATTTCTTCAATGAAAAAGAAAACAATAAATATAATAAAATTATCGACCTCAGAAATGCGTGTTCTTTTATTATGCAAAGTTAGCTGTGGCAAAATGCTAAAGCATACATTGTATATTGTAAATTTCCTTAAAAATTGCTGCAGTAGGAAAAAGCATGTATTTTAACATTAATGTTTGGATCATATACAGAGCATTAAATCTGCGTTTTTCACTGATGGGGTAGGTGGGGGGGGGGAGGCTAAATCAGTCTTACAAATTTATAAAAAAAGAAGGATATAGGAAAGGAAGTTGTGATTGTTTGCTTATCGAGGTCCTTTTTTATTTCAAAAGTAAAAAACTCCCCACATCCCGTGCATGAAGCTGTGGTGAGCGCGTTTTACTTTTCCCCTGCCTTATCTTTCCTCTAGAAGTAGTCCAAGGACTAATCAACTTGAACTTGTGACCGTTATCAATTACTAATTTCCACGTTGACGTCAAGGTTGGGACACAAGTCACCATTGCCTGGACATCCATGCCCATATTAGGCTGAAGATCAAATAAATCGGTGCTATAGATTTAAGACAATTAAACATGAGTGAAATCGTGGACACTAAATGATGTCGCGGTCGTTTAACTAGCACGCGCACGTTTCGCGATCTTATCCCAGTGACGCACAGGCGTCAGCGCTGTGTCCGAAACCACTTTAAAACTTGCCCGATAAAGGAAAATGTAAATATACACTTAGCTCAAAATTGGTGTCTCATTTGAGATAGGACCTGAGTAGCAGATTTCCGCTTCTATAATTTGATGATAAGTGATGATTTTTTGATAGATTACAGGAAGGAGATGAACGTGTGTGCGGATACGCTTTACGAGTTCTTTGTACTTTGTTTGTGACTCATGCGGCACTGATTCAGTTCTGCCCGGGCAGTTTTATCTATTCACCAGTGGACACAATGCATGACCAGCACGTCTAGACCGTAACGGTCAAGCGTTGAAAGTGGGTCAAAGCGTCAGTGGACTGTCGCGGACTCACTGGTTCGGGGAGAGTCACACACTTGTACTTAATTAATGCATTGGTAGTCGACTCAGACTCTGTATTTTTGGCTAGTCACGTAGAGGAAGATAAAGAATTAGTAACAAACAGATAGTATCAGCAATAAAAATTTGGAATGTGAAGCGAAAATTACCTGAACAAAAAATACCACCCAGTGCATATATTAATTTGTCTAATACAAACAGATATTAAATCATAGCGATGCAGTGCACCTTTTGTGTTTTAACCATCTTTATTTTAGCTATGAATATGATTGTAAATGGCGTCTAAACTCTAATTTCTTAAATTTAATTCTTGATTCTAATTTTTGACATTATTATCGCGCCTGTTAATTTAATAGAATGTGCCCCCTACATTCCAAGCTGACCTCCACAAAGCGTGACCCCCCCCCCCCCCCCAATAACGACCCTGTCGTCTGCTTAGAATAATTGACCGACTTTTGTCTCCCCACCCCCACATTTTGCCCGAAGGGTTTTCACCTTGTTTTCTTCCACCTTCCCTTCCCCATTTCTTTATTTTTTGGATCATGTTGAACCGGAACACACACAACAATACAAGACCGTAACCCGTCCGCGCGCTTTCTTTGCCCTGTGCACACATCACAATAATACTGTTGATGTTGAAGGGGTGAATGAGGGATTCGGTTCAATATCTCGGGTGACGCGGCTATTCGCAAAATACGCCTTCGCAGAATACAGGACGTCTCCTGATGTCGAATAAACTGGCGGGCCGGTACAATTTGTTTGGCCCAATTTTTGGAGTTACACAAGAACGCGCTTGCAGTTGTCGTGAAACGGTTGCAGGACGCGTACGGTGACATTTCTTGGACGCGTTCGGCAACCTTACGTACCCCGACGTCTTACGGTTGAGGTGGCACGTTTTGTTGTAAATTCAATGAATAAAATAAGTGTAAAAAGTATTGATTGAAAACTTTAACGCATGTAAAGATAAAATACTATTGTTGATTGTGGTTAATCTGAAGTTATATGAGCAAAGTAATAAGGTTATTAGTTATGCGGAGGCAGAGCAATAATAAAGATGACAACCTTTTATGTCATTTTTTTCCAAATAAAAAACGGGTGTAGCCAGAAATATCAGATAGCCACACAAAATCGACGCGCCAACGAGTGTGCAAACGCACGTGTGTGTGCGCGCGAGAGCGATATTTCCGAATTTTACCACAGAAAAAACAACTTACCAGCTGTGATTTCCCACAATTACGCAAGGCACGCGGTAACAAGAAAACGCACTAGGCTGTGACCGACTTCCTAAAGCCCGTTTTTGACAAAAGACAAAAATAAGGACAGCAAATTGCATAAAATGTTTCACGGGTGGCTCTTTTCTAAACAACATTGTGGTTGTAACAAACTGATAATTATCAATACCAAGATCGAGGCAGAAAATTACCTTTTTGAATAAATAACCAAGTAACAAGTTTACTTTTACAGGAACGGAACGTCTGCAACCAATCAGGCATATATAATATAATAAAAGAATTTTCGGTTTAATTCTTTTCCTTTCGAAAATAATAAAGAAACACTGCCGTGTCCTTAAAACAGGAGTTTGGGAAAGGCTTTGGCCTTATGGGGCGAGTGAAATAATGCACCTAAAATGACACAAGAAATGTCGTTGAGTGCATTTAAAGGACTAAAGCGCCCATCCTGTTCTAAGTATTATACAGACCGGCTTCTTCACCGCGAGAGCAAGGATCCGATTTTGAATGGCCCAGTAAGGCCTTTGTTTATGCAATACCGTGTAACTGTGTGTAATGCAATCATTTACTTAATGCATTTCAGTTTTTATGTTTAAAATATTTACATTTATTTTCATCCCCCCTTTTATTTCTTACTGTATAACTCATTGCCATCTATCAACATTGAGTTTCTGCTTAATCTTAGATTTTTTTCATATAATTCACACAATTTACATTTGGTTTGAGACACAGGATGTATAAATCAATTCATCTAAAGAGCATAGTGTTTTGCAACTGAACATAATAATAATATCCAGATATCTATTATTAAAATGTTTTATTTTCTAAAAGAAGTAATACACGTTTCTTATGGCCACGCGTCCCTATAACGAATTTTATATAATATTCTTTATTAGAAAAGTTACTGTGTTCTCTACATACAGACCTAAGCAACAGAAAAATGTACATGGATTGGACGTTCCAAGTCCTTACAATTTACACAAGTGAGACCAATGTCGAACCCAGTATGCAGTTCGGCAATTAATGAATTAATTAAATAATGGTAAGAAACTGCTCTTTTAAAACCTGAACAGTGAGAAAGTCATTTCAAGATCCTACTCACTCTTCTTCAAATGACCTAGGCCAATCCTTCATACGTGGTATATGTAAACAATATCTTCATTGTCAAAAATAAATATATCATAACAATAATAATCTTCCAAAGCAACAGTACGGATTGCTTCACCAAAACCTTTCACATGCAACGTTCCCATGGTTTAGTCTCAGGTTGTCATGGGAAAATAACTTAGCGTGACCCCGTTGCCATGGAGATGACCTTAAAAAATCCTCTCTCACGTGTCAGCTATGGTCACGTCAGTATGTCAATATTTTTCTCTGCTTATTTGTCCTGTTTGTTGAGCTTAATTCCGTAACAGCAGGACTACATCACGTTTACCAAGTTCTTCAAGTTGTTTTCTCTCTAATTCAGCTGCCAGTTTATGGTTCTACTTCATCTATGTCTAACGCAGAGAAGACGTTGCCGTCACTGAAATCCTGTAAGTATACGAATGAAGGAAGTTTCATTATAAACAATTTTCAACATGAAGGCACAGGAAAGGAGGAGCGTAAGTGAATGGTGGACCCCCCTCCCAAATCCCCGGATGATCTACACTTTCTCTCTCTCTCTCATTAGTCATTTTTTTACCTCTCTGATCTCTGATGTCTTACCCTTTGCGTCTTTTCCTCAAACTTTGGCATCTCGTCTATCGACCTGGGCATGGGTCGTTCTCTGGTTCCTCTGCCTCTCCCCCGGGGGCCTCCACGACCTCTGTCACTGTAGCCCCGCCCACGGCCTCTTTCTGCGGAATCACCACGCCTCTGTCCCCAGTGTGAGCCACCAAAACCACGCTCCTCTCCCTCTGAAATGGGGTAAGCAACTTATCACAATCTACGGATTAAGGCAAACACCGGCAGCAAAGATATTTTTTAAAATTACATCACAGTGTTTAAAGTAAAAAGTATAAATTCTATTTATTAACTCTCTATCCAGGAAACTTATAAAAAGAAAATGAGCAAGATGTTTTAGCCTTTTGAGAGACATGTATAACTGTGATACTGGACGGTCCTTACATTTGCAAATGACCTATGCTGCAGTTCCAACCTAAAGTAAGTTTCAATGTCAGAGTTATACACAGATCTCACTCTTATTCTACCGGATGACTAAAAGCATTCACTGATTTATACTTTCTCTTTTGGAAGCGGAGTTGACCAAAAATATTTTAAAGAAGTAATATCATTACCTTTCTTATACTGCTGATTCTGTGGTCCGTTCTGCTGTCTTTTGGTATCATTCATAGCGGGACGTCCAGCAGACCAGGCGTTAGGGGGAGGACCAGCGGCTGGTTTAGACTCTGAGGCCTGGAATAAAACAGGAGTTATAGTGCCATTTAGTGAAAAAAGTCTGGAAATATGGCCTTGGGGTTTAGAACACCCTCTGCAGCGATCTCAAATATGATACTTTTGGCACCCAAAAAGATAGAAATCTGAGGATAATCTGAAAAATCTCAACTGATGAAAATAGAAGTTAATTGCTGGATGATACCTGTTTTTATTTGTAACTGGTATGTCCCCAAATCCTCAAAAGTAACAGAAAACTAAAAAGAAATACAAAATTAATCATGACTCATGATCATATAAATCATGATCAAAATTGAATCTGTAGGTAACCATACCGTTGCTTTAGATCTGTCAGCATAAGATTCATTAGCTTCCACTCTCCTAGGTGGCGCTGCCTGCCTGTCGTCTGCTGACGGTGGCGACTGCTGACTGGGACCCTGGGCAGGTGGCTCCCCCTGGGAGGCCTGTTTTCGTTTCTCCCAAATATTAACAGAAGGAGGTGGTGCTGGGGACACCTAGAACAGACATCAAAATAGTTAGACCTATTTTTTTTTTTTTTCACACATGAAAAAGGATGAGAAATGTTCTGAAAGAGGTAAAACTTCCAACCCTCCCTGAGTCACTTTTTAGGCATACAGAAAAAAGTACTTGGATGAATCATGGATGAGCTTGCCATTTAGTGAAAAAGTCTTGCCTTGGAGAGAAGGGGGCCCTGCACTGATTTTAAAAATGATATTTCTCACTAAAAAAGTCTAAATCTTCTGACAGTTGAATAAATCTCTGATCAATAAAGATTCATTCTTAATTGTAATAGCAATTTTTTTTAAATTCTAGAATGTAGACTAAATTTGAAAACAATAATGAACAAAAAGCAATTTCAAAAATATCACAATACCAACCTTCACCTCCTCCTTTTTAGTAGGAGACTGTGGACTTTGTACAGGTTTACTCTCCTCCGTCACCTCCTGGTCATGACGGTCCGACTCCGACCCCTCTCGGCTACCTCTGTCCTGCCTGGCCCTGGGGGGTCCCTGGGAGCGGGGCATGCCTGAATGATTGACAGGTTGGAGATTATGCTGGTGATTGACTGGCCACATGATGGTGGCAAGGTAAGGTGGGTGCGGGTGTGGGTGCATGCACTAGAGGGAGAGTGTAGGCATGCATTTGTCATTACTAGTGTGTGTGTGTGTGTGTGTGTGTGTGTGTGTGTGTGTGCGTGCGTGTCAGCTAGCATGCATGTGCCTGAACATGTGGGTGTATCTAGATGGAGGGACACCTAAAGGCACATCAACTATTGCAAATACATAAGGTTTCTTTTTCAGCTACATATTATTTCAATTATTGGTAGTTCAGCTTTGTTGACATTAACCTTCATAAAACACGACCATACTTCACAGCACTGTACTCCTAAAAGCAAGCTCAAAGCAGTAGATTTTAACAAGTGCAAAGACACATCTGGTTTAATAGTCAAACATCATAAAATGAAATTATTCAATTTCAACTTATCCCAGCACAAGCTATTATCTCTTTGTGTAGGACCAAAATCAAGGTTAAGCCAGTAAAGATAAATGACATCGGCAAAAGAAGCCAACTTTCAGACCAATCATTATAATTTCAAAGTGATCACATTTTAAAAACTTATTCATTTTTTCATAGCTGTCATTCAATTTAATTCATACCCATTCTTTATCTTCTTATATTTTTTAATAAAAGCCCATAAAAGTGCAGTATAATAAAGAACAGTGCAGCAAAAAATCAATTATGTACAATGAAGAACTAAATAATTAAAATGTATGCGCATAAATTAAGACTGAAGAATAGGAATGGACCAAAAGCACAGAGGAGGCATAAAACTAAATAGGCAGGAACTCATTTAGAAATGCAGTAGCCAACACAACCTTTGCACAACAGAGAACTTAGAACACAGCAAACACTGTATATTAATCAATAAAAGGGAGGTAAAGCTTCCGTGAAAACACACTAAAAATTTAATATAATCACAAACATATGAACAGAGAAATAACAGAAAAAAATTGGCACAAAACATTGCCAAAAAAACAAACAAACTACTACATTCAAAGTATTTGTGCAAATAAAAAACACAAGGTGCAAAATTTCCCCTCCTGCTCTCCCCTACAACTTCCTGGTCCACCCCTACCTGGCCTTGGGCCACCTTTTGATGACGAGGACCCTGAGCTCAGCTTTCTCTCTCGCCGTTTATATTCCCTATATTCCCTACCATCTCTTCCGCTATCGGAATTTTCACTGTCCCTTCGTCTGTGCCCCCCGTCGTGACTGCTTCTTCTTTCTTCATGCCTGAAAAAGTGTAAATCGAACACTTCTGATAAAAACAGAGCTTACTTTTTCTTTTCAATCAATGACATCTTCAGTCACATTAAGGATGAAAGGACACTCCAAAAACAAAATGATTTTCTAAAATATTCATGACTTATTCATTCAATATCTCTTACATACTTAAGGGAGGGGGGGGGGGGGGTCGACAAGAAAAAAATCTTTTAACAAACAAATGTATTCAACTGCGACTAATTATTAAATAATTCACACTTGGACACCTACAAAATTTTCTAATTAAATAAATAAACAAACAAGAACCTGTCTCTCCGCTGCTCCTCCTCAGCAGGTTTGGCCAGTTCATGCTGTTTCTGTAGACGTTCCTCAATCTCTCGTTCTTTAGCAGCAGTGTTCACGGGCTTTGCGCCTCCAAATATTGAAGAGCTCTGCTGAGCTGGTTTTTCTTCCGCCTCCACTGGCTTGGTTCTGGGTTGGAGAACGAGGCGTTTTCTTTCTGCTGGAGCTTCTGCAGATGAAGGTAAGAAAGGTAATACTTAGTGTTTCCCTAGGTTAATAAAATTACCAAGCCGAGGCCTTGATTACTGAAGACAAAATAGTCTGGAATAAAAACAGAGTACACCCCTCTGCCCTGCAAAACAAAATGTTCTGTATTATGAGCCTTTGAATAGTTCTGTCTATATGAATACCACAGCATGTATCTTAACCATGTCCTTTCATCTATTATGATTGTAGAGATCATTACCCCCTCCCTTGCTACAAAACATTTTCATCAGTTGTAAACTTCAAAATAACAGTGCACCACTCAATAAACTGTTGCTTCACGCGTGCACGCATACACAACATGTGCATGCAGATCTAACCTTCTGCGGCGGGAGCTCGCTCTTCTGATGGCAGGGGTGCTGAGCGAGGCTGGAGTTTCATACGGGGTCTGTCACCAGGCGGGGCGTCAGCAGAGTCTGGGGATTATATAGAGGGGGATAAGGGCAAAGTGCCCAGGGTGAGGGCATGGCTTGACTCTGATTGGTTCATTAATAAGGGGCCTAAGTATATGAACTACAGGGGGGATGTTTCTCAAAGAAATCAAGAGGCTGCCAGCAATTGTTTTTATATGATTGTTAATTAAATTCCATTTCAATGATTCATCAATAATAATTTTCTTGGCAATTATTTGAATAAAAACTCAAGCAAAAAATGAAAAAATAAATATTGATAATAAAAATATTTAAATNGTACAGACACATCTGTGTCTGTACATAAAAAAGAGCTTACTTTTTAATTTCAATGAATGACATCTTAAGGATGAAAGGACACTCCAAAAACAAGTGGGGACTTTTTCTCGATTTTCTAAAATGTTCATGACTAATTCATTCAATATCTCTTACATACTTAAGGGAGGGGAGGGGGGGTTGACAAGGAAAAAATCTTTCAACAAACAAATGTATTCAACTGTGACTAATTTTTAAACAATTCACATTTGGAAACCTTCAAACTTTTAAATTAAATAAACAAGAACCTGTCTCTCCGCTGCTCCTCCTCGGCAGGTTTGGCCAGTTCATGCTGTTTCTGAAGACGTTCCTCAATCTCTCGTTCTTTAGCAGCAGTGTTCACAGGCTTCGCGCCTCCAAATATCGAAGAGCTCTGCTGAGCTGGTTTTTCCTCCGCCTCCACTGGCTTGGTTCTGGGTTGGAGAACGAGGCGTTTTCTTTCTGCTGGAGCTTCTGCAGATGAAGGTAAGAAAGGGAATACTTAGTGTTTCCCTAGGTTAATAAAATTACCAAGCCGAGGCCTTGATTACTGAAGACAAAATAGTCTGGAATAAAAACAGAGTATACCCCTCTGCCCTGCAAAACAAAATGTTCTGTATTATGAGCCTTTGAATAGTTATGTCTATATGAATACCACAGCATGTATCTTAACCATGTCCTTTCATCTATTATGATTGTAGAGATCATTACCCCCTCCCTTGCTACAAAACATTTTCATCAGTTGTAAACTTCAAAATAACAGTGCACCACTCAATAAACTGTTGCTTCACGCGTGCACGCATACACAACATGTGCATGCAGATCTAACCTTCTGCGGCGGGAGCTCGCTCTTCTGATGGCAGGGGCGCTGAGCGAGGCTGGAGTTTCATACGGGGTCTGTCACCAGCCGGGGCGTCAGCAGAGTCTGGGGATTATATAGAGGGGGATAAGGGCAAAGTGCCCAGGGTGAGGGCATGGCTTGACTCTGATTGGTTCATTAATAAGGGGCCTAAGTATATGAACTACAGGGGGGATGTTTCTCAAAGAAATCAAGAGGCTGCCAGCAATTGTTTTTATATGATTGTTAATTAAATTCCATTTCAATGATTCATCAATAATAATTTTCTTGGCAATTATTTGAATAAAAACTCAAGCAAAAAATGAAAAAATAAATACTGATAATAAAAATATTTAAATAAAAAAAAAAAACAAACAAAAAAATAAATAATATATAAATAAAGGTTAAAAATAATTTACTTTTTCTTTTTTAAATGAAGATCAAAGTGCAGATGACTTGTTAAAATAAAATTTTTATCACGAAGCTTTGAGTTGATCTTACAACATATATACAGGCACTCACCTCTCTCTGGTTCTCTGTCATCACGCTGATATCTGCTTAATGAATAAAAATAAAATATAAATAAAACAGAATTTTACAAGCTTACTTTGAAGCATCATATATGGTCTGATTTTACCACCATTACTATTTTTTTT